TTTGCCATACTTTGTCCAAAAATTTCCTTTGTGTTCCCATTGACTTTGATCATGGTAAGAAAAGTAGTTGTTAATTGTAGATGTCTAGGTACTTCAGGGCACTTCATTAAGAGTTTTGTCTTGAATATTCTTGAAAGTTTATATTTTTATAATTTTTTTTACATCAGATGTTTCTTTGCAGTTGCTTAATGTTTGAAATTATTTTGTGGCTTTTTTTGTAAATATTGAAATGTAGCAATAATGTCTTGAATATTCCCAAGCCCGTGAGTCCTTGAAAATATTTTTTATATATACAGTAACTTTATGTGTAAATATATACACGGTGCAAGTTTAATGGATGTTGGTGTTTCATGTGTTTTATTTCCTGATACGTTGTCCAATTGTTGACAATTCTGAAAAATTCTAATAAAAATGTAAATATATAAATCAAAAAAAAACAAATAAATAAAACAAAGGTTTATCAACAACTGAAAAAATTTAAAAAATAAAAATGAAAAATGGAGAAAGAAAGAATGGATTTGAATTTTTAAAAAATGTTTATGTTTTAGTTGTACACAATAGTTTTATTTTGTTTATTCATTTTTATGTGGTGCTGAGGATCGAACCCAGGGCCTTGCATGTGCCAGGTGAGCGCTCTACCACTGAGCCACAACCCCATTCATGGATTTGAATTTTAAGAATCACAGAATTGCAAAATAGGCTCACTGATCTTGGGAAATTTCATAAAGGGCATGGGAAGGCCACTGGAGGGACGAGTGGAATGGCGTTGTTATGTCTGGGTGTCCACTTGGGGTCCAGGTTCTTGGGGATGTGAAAAAAGAATTGAGCAAGACACACAGAAGGAATAAGCCAAGTGCACTTCATGGAGGGAAAGGAGGAAGTAGCACTCATAAGGCAGGTGCAGTGGCCCACAGGGGCTCACCGCCCCGAAACCCTGGTCTTTTATGCTCTCTTCCCTGTGGGGACAGAATTGAGGACCTTACCCCATCTGCTCCCACTGGTACCTGTGACACCTGATTACAAGTGACCGGTTTCTGAATACCCAACCTGTGGCAGGAAGTATCACAGCGATAGGACTTGTAAACAGGGACATGACTCACCTCCAGCTTGTATACTGCCTCTGCCATCTTGGAGTCCTGCTTCAGTATCTGGGATTTATCTTTACTGAGCCAGATGGAGGGTCTGGGGTCAGAGGTGGGTATCTGGGAAAAGATTTGTCTAGGGAAGGATCAATGCTTTGACCTCTTCCCAGAGAGTGTCATTTCAGACTCGATGGATATCTCCTCCTGGGGATCTGTCTTGTCACTGGGGAAGACTGTACTAGGAAAGGATCAATGTATTGCCTTCTGCCTCATTCCCTGTCCCTGGGCCATACTGTTTGGAGTTTGTCATTTTCCATATCCAACACATAAATAAAAGCACATTCTGAAAACAAATTTAGTAAGTAAGTACCTATTAAGTGGACTGACAGCACTCTGTAAGAACTCAGGCCTGGAAAAAGACAGATCTGGAGGTGAAGGTTGGGGAGTTCATGGGTTTTTGGATTTAAAGCCACAGTCCCTTTTTCCTTCCCTTTGGGTTCTTTCTACCTGTCCTGTTTCTTCTACCCTATTTCGGCTTAGTGGTTGAACACTTGCTTGGCATGCCAGACGCCCTGGGTTTATACCCAGAAAACTGTATTTATTTTGCCTCATATTCCGCTTATTTCACATTGCAAGCATTCGGAGGACTGTTCATCCTTTGTTGGCTTCTACATTTTCACTCTTCTGGGAACTGCACTTTCAGCATCAAAGTCCAGCATCAGAAGGCTGCTGTGGTGACCTGAAGTCAGAACAAACACACGGAAACCTTGTGCGATTGGGCCGGCTGGGTCCAGGCCCCAGGGCGGGCAATGATCTCCCGCCTGCTGGGTTCGGCCCCAGGTTGGGCGAGGACCCCGCGTTGGGTCCCGGCCCAGGAGTTGGGCAGTGACCTTGCCTAGGGTCCCTACTCCGAGGAGGGCAGTTGACCTC